TTTTTTTTTTTTTTTTTTTTTTTTTTTTTTTTTTTTTTTTTTTTTTTTTTTTTAAGAATTTTGCTATGAACTCAAATTGTTCCTTAGGAATGTTGAGAACACAGACGTAGTTTTTTAAAATTAAACGGTTATGTAACCATCCCAAGAGGGTAAGCCGGGAGGCTATTAGTCCCAAACTCGATAGCATTCCAAATATCGAACTCCTTTTCCCTTGAGTCGATTCAATGAAGTCATAATAACCCATACCAGAAGAAAAGGGGCCACATCTCCATCTTGAAAAGACAGAATATGGCGCTTTGGCATTAGATAATGCATTAAACTAAGAGGTCTTTCTTCATTTCCCCAACATATTGAGTACCAAGAATGACCATTTCCTTCCCAGCAAGATTCATATCTATACTGATGGAAGAAGTCAGATAGTATGAATTTGGGAATTATGACAGACCAACCTAATGAGTGTTTTGTTGACGATTGCATACATGTCGTGCACGACACAAGGAATGATAATCTCGGACTTTGATGTCCCACATTGGTTGGGGAGGAGAACAAATCACCATTTATAAAGGTGTGGAAACCTTCCCCTAACAAACGCGTTTTAAAGCCTTGAGGGGAAGCCCGAAAGGAAAAGCCCATAGAGGACAATATCTGCTAGCGGTGGATCTTGGTCGTTACACGGGCTGAAGACTTCGATTCCTTGAACATAGCTCGGTAGTTAAAAGAATAGTTAAGAAACGGCAACAAGTTTCTCTATATCTCAAAACTAGAAATCTCCATCCAACATTACGTTAAGCAACATATCATAGTTAAATACATGATTTTCAACTTTAAATTTGTTAGCAAATATTATTCGCTTTCCTCACGATTTTAAAACGCATGTGTTAGGGAGAGGTTTTCGCACACTTATAAGAAATGTTTCATTCTCCTCTCGAACTGATATGAGACCTCACAATCCACCCCCTCTTGGGCCAACATCCTTGCTGACACACCGCTTGGTATCTATCTCTAATACCATTTGTATCAGCCCAAACTCACCGCTAGCAGATATTGTCCTCTTTAGCTTTCTCTTTCGAGCTCCTCAAAGTTTTAAAACGCGTTTATTAGGGAGAAATCTCCACATCGAAATGTTTCATTTCCCTCTCTAGATGTAGGATGTGACATTAAATGTGTCCAAATTGGGTGGAATTAATCATGTTTTAATAGAATTCTCAAGAGTCTTCAGAAGAAATGTGAATTGACTGGAAGACTAATTCTTTGCGTGCAGAATAATGAAAAGGAGAAGAAAAGAAGAAGAGATTGTGGGGACAAGATGATTTTAAAGACAACCTGCTGAAGAACCGGTTCGAAAAGCATGCGCATAAAACGGCACGTGCGTAGTACACGTACAACCCAGCAACATCAGACCACGCGTGCGACAGTATCATCCGTGTTCCGATGTTTCTCCTTCCCATTTCCACTTCGCTCTCTTGCATCATTCCCACGCAACTCCACTAATGGGCCGCATTCAAAATGGGCCTTCTTTTTCTCTCCACCTACCACGCCCCATTCATTCCAACTTTCTCTTCTTCTTTTTTAAATATTTATTAAACACCTTTTAAGATTTTAAAAAATATATATTAAATACATTATATAATAACATATATTATTAAAAAAAATTATACAAAAATAAATTTTTATTTGTCGAACAAAACTGAAAAAAGAAAAAGATTTTAATGTTGGAATTTAAAAAAAAAATTAAAAATTAAACTTTTATTTAATTGTTCGCCACTAAAATAGAATGTTCAATCAATAAATTAATCAAATAAAATTCCAAAAACAGAAATTCTCCATGTACATATTAGGAATTGATTAAGAGAAATATTTGAACATTGCTACAAATTCCAAAGGAATAATGGAATATTCAAATTCATATGAACAAAAACGACATTAATTTGAAGGGAGAGCTCCAGAAATACTCTGAGAAGGTTTCTGTATTACAATTTCTACCAACGGCGCCGCCCCACACGGCGGACATGCCATTGCTATAAACCTCGGAACCTCGTCGCCGGGCATCAACACCGTCAGGCTTTCCGGCCGATTCTCCTTCCATATCTTTTATTTAGGAAAAAAAAAGATATAGAGGAAACATCAAAAAATAATAATAAGATTTATTCGATATTTAAATTCTCAGTTTAAAAAAAATAAAAAAAATAAAAAATTCTCCGGCGGAACAAAACGCACCGTATGGACTAGCTAAACAAGAAGTAGAAGGAACAAAACGCACCGTATGGATTGGGGAGAATTTATCAGGCGGCGAAAAGGCGGGGGTTTCCGGCGGAATAGAAGGATGACGGTGGTCGGCGTGATCGGGACAGCCGAGAATTGATCGGAGCTTTTCCCAGTGAAGACAACAAGAAAAGAAACAACACATGCAGAACAAAAACGTCAACAAAAGAACCAAACCAACTGGAAAACTCAGAGAGGCGGAATCCTGTGCTTCGCGGTCATCGTACTCCATTTCTTGTATCTCTCGATCTTCCTCCGATCAAATTCTGCAGATTTGTTGATGACAATTCAATTTATGCACAAAAATATTTTATTTTAATTAATTTATTTAATCGGCATGGGTAATGGGTTATGGGTATTAATTGAAAACGACCCGCTTCACTTTACATAACCAAAAAAAAAAAAATCTGAATTTACGTACAGTACGGACTCAAGTGGGCTCTTTTTTAATATAATTAAAATTTCATAAAATAAAACCTAATAAAGTTTATTTATTTTTAATATATATATATATATATATATATTTAATTAAAACATTATCATAATTTCACATCCATCAATGGAGATGATAACAACAAGGCATTGTTTTAAAAAGAGAGCCGCTTTAATTCTTGTCACCACCTTTCGTGCAAGTAAGTTTAATTATGATAATGTTTAAATAATTTGTGTTTAATTTAAATTAATTAGTAGTCTTTTGAAACACAAACACTTTTCTATCACTTTAATGATGTGCTTTTAATTTGTCACCTAATTACAGGTTCCAATTCCTTCAAATTTCACCCACTCCCAATCATTACATATATTTCTTTTTTAATAAATAAATAAATAAAGCAACAATTTTATCATTACTTTATAATATTTTATTTTTATTCACAAGGATTCCATTTATTGCTTAATATCATTTTAAAATTAGGTTATTTTCCATTCAACTTAAATTAAAAAACTAAGATAAAAAAAAGATAAATATTTATTCTTTTTATATCTATTTTTTCCTCTCCATTTTAATAAATGGCAAAATATTAAGGTTTTATTTAGAAACCTTCCTCTCTTCATCTCTAACTCTTATTTTAATTTTCATTTATTTTTGTCGAGAATGAGACAAAAAAAAATCTCCATATTTTTATATATGTATTTTTAAAATATATTCATATTAAATATTCGCAATATATAATTTTTATTTTTTAAATAATTTTTTAATAAAAAATTGCAAAATATCTTAATAGGACATAATATAGTGCTTAATTTCTAAAATCCAAATTTTAATCTTGCATGGTATATATATATAAATAAAGTGAGCCGTACATGTAATAGGGACATGACAATGATATAATCTTTTTTCTCGATGCCATTTAGCTATCAAAGCTCCCTACCTTATCCCAAAATTAAGTAGAGATTCTACATCCTGTTGCGGGTGGGTCTGTTGAGAATTAGTGAGAGTCAGTCTCACATTGGTTAATTTAGTGAAAGATCATGGGTTTATAAGTGAGGAATAGTATCTCAATTGTTATGAGACCTTTTGAAAAGCCCTAGACTTTATGTAGAGCATATCATACCATTGTGCAGAGTCATGATTCCTAGGACAATATCATACTATTGTGGAGAGTCCTCATTTGCAGATTAAATGAACATCTATACTTCTTTTAAAAATGGTGATAAATATTTAAATAATACATGTAAAAAATATAATTGGTAGCTAAAAATTAAAAAAAAAAATGATTTCTTAAATAAGAAAGCAAAACTTTATAAAGTTACTGGGGACTGCATATATGTTTAATCACTATAGGAAGTTAGAGTGGATTAGTAATGGCAACCTCGTGGATTTCCGTAGCAGAAATTAGGTTATGGTCTTTTTCACATGAATTCATTCCACTAGAGAGTACAAGATAGAGATAAAGGACAACACATTATCCTTTATTTCTTTATTTCCTAAGATATTATTTATATACACAATATGTTATTAAAATAAAACCTTATATTAATATTAAAACAGCGTAGGGTCCATATTATAAGATATGGTTTTAAAATTTAATTGGGTAACAGATAGTGGAATTTGAAAGCACAAAGTGAA